CCAACTCTCAAAACCGGCCAAAATTCAAACCTCCCCTCCCCATTGACCGGTTTTGACCCACTTGACCAGTTTTGACCTGTTCACTAGGTGAACAGTAAGTAAAACATAAATTCGTTTTTTCAAAGGGTGAACAGTAAATTAAAAAAATTGGAACTAAAATTCAACAAACAGTTTTGATTTTTTACCGGGCGAATAGTAAATAAAAAAATTAATAAATTTTTTCATAAAAATCCAATTTTTTTTGCATGGACGATTTTTCAGTGCGTGATGTCCGTGCCAATTTTCAGATTGTTTGGACATTTCAGTGGTCTCTCAACAAAAAATAAAAATAAAAATCGGCCCGAACAGTACACGAACAATTAACTGTTTCACAGACGTCACATTTGTCTTTTTTGCTGAGAGCTACTCAGATGTCCGAACAAGCTGGAATTTTTTGTGTTATTATTATTTTTTTGAATACTGTCCACCTGGACAAATAAAATATTTTTTTTAGAAATCAAAATTTTTTTGAATTTTTTATTTAAAACTTTTTTCAAATTACTGTTCACTTAGTGAAAATCGAAATTATTTTTTGAATTTTTTTATTTCTTATTTCTTTTTAATTTACTGTTCACCCAGTCAACATGTCAAAATCGGTCAACTGGGTCAAAACCGGTCAACGGGGAGGGGAGGGTTGAATTTCGCGTGGTTTTGAGAGTTGGGGTGTAAATTAGACGGTATTGGAGTTGAGGGGGTGTATATTAGACTAGGCCTGGAGTTGAGGGGTGTAATATGCACTTCTCTCGATTCCCAATGATAGTAATGCCGGACCATCTTACAGAAATCGACTCAGAAATCTCTAATTTTCATTTTTTGTGCTCCTGATAAAATCGCCTGATCTACTACACAGTTCATATCGGGTGTTGGTAGTATATTGCATAAGGCAGAGCACTTTGAACCTAAGTTATGTCAATGGGGAAGAAGTTTCAACGGTGGCCAATCAAAGCATTCCAAGACTGGCAGGAGTCAAAATATCATAACCTCAGGCAAGTCCTGTACTCAATGAGACTATGACATGTATATGGCAGGAAGTTACCTGAGTTTTCTAGTTTTTTAGAACGGGGGCTCAAGAAGAGCCTGAGTTTGAATTAACAAAGCCATCAACCGGCCAGGGATTACACCAGGCCACCATTACAACCAACTGGAAACAGAAAAGAAAAACAAACTGCAGATACACGGTGTTGCCGAAGCAGCTTACAAGCACCAAAAACTACACGCCCTTAGGAGCATAACAGAATAAGCGCTAGCTTGTAGTCGACGGAGTCCTCCGAGTGAACTTAAACCAGTAGGGCAAACAGAGAGGAACTTCGGACGGGGCCGATACCCAACGTCGCACCGTGCCCTCATCTACCCTAGAAGGTGCACATCACAAAAACATGATGCTCCTCTCCAAATCCGGAGGAGACCCTTGCCCCTCGCCTTGGCTCGAAAGGCGCCGGACCGTCAAAAGATGGAATTGCCCCTCCTAGAGCAAGGAATGGACATGATTCTGGGCACCAAGGGAGATACTCATCTCGATACGCCGCTGCACGAAGGATACCAGATGAAAGTCCACATCGCGGCTCAATGATACAAGCACGAAGAGCAAAAACTGCATAAGGGAGCTGTCATTGAACAAACAAACAGAGAGGAGAAGATGGAGCATCCACAACTGGAATCAGATCAACCCGCATAAATCAGCTTCGCGACCTTGCCACCGCATCTGGTTGCTGCCAACGCAACGGAGAGGATCCCTATCCCCTCCCTGCCCAAGGCAAAGACGTTAAGCAAGCATGCATAGATCGGTCAACGGCCAAATCGAGAGGACAGCGGACCTACACTAATTTAGAGACAAAGAGCCATGCTCGAAATCCATCGCCGAAGACGCAACAAACCCAACCACCACTGCTCAGCACCATAACACATTCCCACCTTGCCCAAGCCGACACCTTCAAGAAGGAGGCGGCGCATGATACGTCCATTTTGCATCATGTTTACATACTGTTATTTTATGTTGTTTTATTGCATAATAATGCTTTTTGGAGTGATTCTAATGCCTTTTCTCTCATAATATGCAAGGTATACACAAGAGGGGAGAATTCTGGCAGCTGGATATCTGGACCTGAAAAAGCTACATCAGGTTACCTATTCTGCACAACTCCAAACGAGCTGAAACTTTACAAGGATTTTTTATGGAATAAATACGAATTTGTGGAGTCAATAAGTACCAGAGGGGGGGCCCACTAGGTGGGCACAACCCACCTGGGTGCGCCAGGGAGCCCAGGCGCGCCATGGTGGGTTGTGCTCACCCAGGCTCACCTCTGGTGCACCCTTGTGGTAGATAAGTCATTTTGACCTAGAAAAAATAGGGAGAGGACTTTCGGGACGAAGCGCCGCCGTCTCGAGGCGGAACCTGGACAAGAGCACTTTTGCCCTGTCACGCCCAATATGCGACCCTATCCAAAAGGAACTCGAAGGTCCCACCAAGGATAGACCCGCATATTGAAACGCTTTTGCAAGGTGGATATCATTACATCAACATTACATAATAGATGGGGATACATACAAGAGGCATACAATGCCACACGAATACAACATCATATTACATAAGAGCAACATCCGACTACGGATGAAACACAAACAAAAGCTCAAACAACATCCACCCTGCTAGCCCAGGTTGCCGACC